AGTGGGATTGACCGTAACATTATAACGCCCCCACGGCTGAAAGGGCGAGCATGTTTGGTGGTATGCGGATTCGAACCCGCGACCCTCAGATTGTGAGTCGAGCGCCTTATCCACCTGGCCATGCAGGGCACAACTGAGAAAGAAAGCTGAGGATGAAAATTATATGGGCGAATAAAAAGATATTAAGTAATTTAACAATGTTATTTGAAAAACGCCAAATTTTATGCTATAGTTAAGAAGTGACACGGGATCAAACAACTTCTTAACTTTAGCTAGAGATCATGTCCTTCAGACTGACTTATAGTAACTTCAGTGAAATAGTGAAGTCAACCTCATTCAAAGATATGAATAAGCTAGCAAAGAGGCTTAAACATTCAACAACATTAAGATCTCCAGCTTTGTAGTATGATTAACTGTATGAAAGTGTGGCATTAGAAAAATGTGGCCACCGGAGAAAAACAGAATTGTTGATTTTTTGTTTGTACAATGTTCCCGTATTTAGTTAGGATAACTGGGCGAATTTTTGACGACAACACTATTGGAAGTGATATGTCTTTACAGTACACTTAACAAAGGTATCACAATATCTTCTGAAAGTTATCTTAAATTATATGAATATATCATGTTATAGCTAGATCGGAACCATCAGTACTACTTCCAACTTCAAATGCTCCCCAATGGCACAGCGGTATGTCTGCGGACTTACAACGCTAGAAACCGGGTTTCGATACCAGTTGTGGGCAGAGCACAGATAGCCCATTGTGTAGCTTTGTTCCAAACAAACAAACAAGTCTAAGTTCAAGGTCAACTTTCGTGTTCCAAAAAAACAGCATACAATATTATTGTGTAAACCAGATACGATTTAAAAATTATATATATATTGAAAGAAATAATAAATTTATTAACGTTATGTTAAAACAAAACTAGATCAAATCTTATAAAAACTATTTTAAATCTGCTGCTCTACATGAGCACGTTTACAAAAAGTATAGTTTGATTAACTGTCTTCTATTAAATAAATATAAATTGTTCATAATATCATTTACAGTTTAT